AACTTTTTTTCTATATACTGAGTTACCCTGGTTGACCTATTTATTTCCCAAATGTTTGGTTGGGTAGTGTTACTATAGAGTTTATATTACCATTGGGTTACAGTAGGGATATATATATGAAAAGAAGAAAGAAATAAGGCACAAGGAGTTAACAAATAGACAAGACAACTGAAAATAGATATAGGGAAAGAACAATACGGAGACCCTTCATTACATTAATATCTGGAGCGTGGTTTTTTTTTCTTTGAGCAATTAGGTTCCACATGAAACATAAAACAACATAAAACAATAGAGGATATCATACAGCATATTTACAAGCTACATTTACATACTTATCAACACTTACACCGAGAATGATGCGATAATGTGTAGCCTATTATAATTTAAATATTTTAGTTGGTCAAGGTGGTATCAAGAGTAACCTCTTTATATGCTGTCAGGAAGTTTCATTTAGTAACATTTCCGTTTCCAGTAAGAAATCACCACATTTACCTCTTTCTGGTATATTTGCCTCTTTTCTGGTATATTTTATTCTTAATTAAAATATTTAAAGTATGTGTATTAAATAAGTAAATGTACTCAGTGACTTTCCATAACGGACTGACTGTAACACTATACTACAGATGTTTCCAGTTATAATAATATTGTTCTATGAATTTATGTTGCCAGTTATAGGTCAAATTCAAAGCAGACTTTGTCACTAATTCAACTATAGCCATTATCAGTAATGATTCAATTGATTCATTCAGAGCTATAACATTTTTTTAAAATATTTTCAGAGCTCCTCTTTTTGCCGAAATCAATATTGTCACATACATCCTACACTTTCCTTGTATGTATCAAATAAAACGGAGCAATATTATAGTGATAAAACGAAACACATTTAAGAGAGTAAATAGATTGCAACGGTTAAAGATTAACTGAGCCCACCTGTGCATTTGATGCCACACAACACAAACTGGAGCAGTTGGTCATTGCCTTGACCTGGTGAGGCTGTTTACCCGAGGTCTGTTGCAATAGAGCTTAAAGTGAACAAAGACATTTTTTGTAAAATCACACATTTGGATGACTTGCATTTGTCCACCCATGTCAACAGAACAGAATCATAGGTATAATTACATGCTGCATGGATGAGTGCTCCTTGGTGAAAAACACTGGTACATGGCCAATATGCTTCCTCAACGGCACACTCTATCTCAAATCACAGTGGACTTTACCACACTTTGTCAGCTGAGTAAGATCCCTAGTGTTAATATCACTACTGGAAACTCAAGTTTGCTCTCAAGGAATGTGTTTTTGGCATATCATTGGAGTAAAGACAGACAGGAAACAGGGAAAACGCTATCCTGGCTCTGTGCAAAGACAACAAAGTCCTCCAGCCAGCACCTCCAAAGAACTCTTTATAAAACTTTCTTTAATCCTTTCAAAAAGACTGATGTAAAAACAACTGCAATACGTCGTCACTATTCAACTGCTATAGGCACAGCGGAGAGTTACTGTGCTAGGCCAAGAAAACGTGTTCCAACATAAAACTAAGGTTTATAATGTTTACTCTTTGGTTTGGTACAGACTAAAAACAACAACAAACACATTATAGCGTGTTAAATAGTGAACCTTTTGGATATTTTGGAGTAAGGGCAACTGTTTATTTCAATTAGATTCTTTATGCTAAGCTAAGAAACCATGCAGGAAAGTAGCTTTTTAGTCAAAAGGTCTTTGTACCTTATAGACAGAATAGGTTGTTTGCCAATGACTCGTAAAGTGATATCTAATGTAAGACCGCCAGAGAGTATCAGCAACAGTCATGTGTAATGAATCAGTTGTAGGTATTTTAAACAAAAGCAATTGGTTTCGTATGGGAAAAATCATGGTTTGGGTCAAAATAAGTAGGTTTGTTATGCAATTTAGGCCCCATACTTAATTTACTTAAGTTAAATATGTTGACAAAATGATAATATGGATCATATTAAGTTGCTTGCACAGACAACCTATCTGCATGTTTAAGGACGGCCTCTATTTAGCAGAAAGACTTTAGAGTACTATCAATCTTCTCTTCTAACTCCCTGTAAGAAAGCAATTAAGCTTGATTGCCAAAATTCTAAACAATGTCTGCTATATTAAGTTGTATTATATTTTTGCCTGTAGTATCATAAATACCTGTGAAAGTCTGCTGGTTCACTACTAAACGTGTTATATCGTTGGACATGTTGAAAATATACTAGTTTCTTTTTGGCCCAAAGCAACAAGTAGACCTCCTCTCTCTCCTACTCTGCCATCTCATCCTATGAAGGAACATAATCAACACTTAACATAAGCCCATATTTTGAGCCAAGTGATGACAATAGGCACTGCTCTCCTTTTGTGATCTTTTCAAGGTTCACAGAGCGCTCTGGGCCATTTGAAAGTCTGCACACACTGAGCAGGTACAAACAGATTAGCAGCCGCACTATTAGTAGGTCAGTGAGTCAGCCGGCTCAGGAACCATCCTGTCATCAGCGGTCAGACGGCTGCTGCTCTGTCATTCTGTGGCCATGTGACCTGCAGGTATGTCGGGATCTTTTTTCAGCCCGGCTGAGGAACAACAAGGGGTGTTTACGTCGGCTATATTTGAACTTCCAGTACCAAAATATGAGAATGACTTGCCTCCTGTGGCCTTAAGATGTCTGACACTCACAAGCCGCAGCTAAAGAAGGGATAGAGGTGGAGGGAGGATGTGAAATCTCTCCTGAAGGACCTTGTACGTGTGGCTGTGTCAGGTTATTCATCTGTTCTTCATGCAGGGCTTCTGTTCTTCTTTTGTGGTGAGCTCTTGTTACAATAAAGATATTACTGTTCAACTCCCTGGGTTCAACAATGTCATATTTAGTGGAATAACTAAGACTGGGCTGCTGAGGTCTCATGGCACTGGGCACAGTAAGACTACCGCCATTTCAGCCATTCTTTCACATGAGAATGATTATAATTATAACCTTTACCCATTTTTGGAGCATAACAGTGTTGTGGTCTTTTTGTTTCTGTGGATATCTACCGCTGACCCTAAGACTTTGATATGTGCCTGAGAGCTCCACCAGAGGACAATAAACATCAAAGGTCACTGTCTGGCTGTGGTGACCTGGACACCTTACCCAAAAGGACA